TCTTCACATGTGTTGACGTTGGACTTGGCTTCCGATCTCCACCGCTAATCATCCGTTGAATTGCTGTAAAGTCGGAAACAAGGTCAAGCACATCCAAGAAAGCATGCATATTCCCACCCAAATCTGGTACGTATGCAATGTCCATGCCCAGACACTGATTGAATCGTATCGACTTCGGTAGGCTTGCGATAGGATGTGCTGGCGGTCGCTATTGACAATCACATAGCTCACATTTGAAAAGCTTGGCCGCTGAGATCGCTGCTGGTGATCCTCCGCCTATCCGAAAGTGTCGGGCAAGTTCTTCACCGCCCTGAGCTTGATGTGAAACCTGTGGCGGGATATGTGTCAACGGTGTCGGGAACTCCCAGGATAGTCCCGCCTCCTAGTAGCTTCTCGAACTCATATTGTTGTTTGACACATCCGAGAATCCGTTCAGCCATGTCTGCTGTCCATATTGAAAATTCAAGTGACTTGCCACCACGTCCTTGAGCTTGACCATGTCCGTGATCTTGTGAACACCGAACTTCAAGTGCATATGCCAGCGCCACTGCTGACGTCACGAATCTTGTTGGTTCCTGAAGTAGATCTCCACGATCATCTCGCAAATCAAAGGCACATTGATCACATCGAACCCAAATCAATCCAGGTGGCAACTCATCTTTGATGATGTTCCACATGTGTGAACATAGAGGGTCCCCCAGTAATACATGACGTCCGTGCTCCATTCGATGCCTGACAATTGCGGGTGCAAACTGAACATGCGCGAATGCCCTGGCTTGGCGTCGTCGTCTCTCCTATGGTGGAAAGAAGTTGTTAATTGCTGACCACGCGTCACACGGAAATGGCACTATCGTGAGATATGGGTCTTCAGATTTCCTTCATCGTCTTTGCCTGCACACTGGGTAGCAGTAAATCATCGCCCGTAGTACGTAGGTTTTTGCATTTTCCGGTTCTCGTACCAAACTCCGTCGCCAGACGAGTAACAGATTGACCGCCGTAGATTTCCTTGACCATTGTCCCAGGAATATGCAGACGATGGCGATCAACACGCAGAACACTCCACGTAGCTTTCATTTCCTGACCAGGGTCGGCTATCCACGTATCCACTTGTTTCTTCCGGGACTTCGTCATGATGCCGATATTTGTTTACATGATATTGTTGCTCTGCGTCTGGTTTGATTCGTTCTCTTTTGTTGCCCAGACGTCCAGCGTTTTCGTACTGATGGTAGGTGCTTCCCGATGTGTCGGTGTCTTCGGAAAGTCCGTGATATTGACCATCAAGTGATTATTCTTGGATCGTGTGATCTTCACTGGCGTGTCCGAAATCGCTCTGAACATCACCTGATTGTGTTTCACACTAATGAGCGTGTCCAGGGCGTCCATCTGATCAACACTCACGAGCATCGGTGCGTCAGAGTTCGGCAGCCTCTCGAAGTTGAGCGTGCAATCTCGTCCTTGAATGCCATTTGTACTGCCTGAATACTTTTCGCCCTGACCGGGGCAGATGTGTTGATGCCTTTGAAGATCGTCCTGCTGGGCATCTGTAGGTTTGCTAGCTCGAACTTCTCTAAGTGCTTGTCGATAGCTCTGTCGCCGCCGACCGGAGCCAGAGCCGCAGTGTCCAGGACCACGTAGCTTGGGGGTACCACCGGCTCTGCCACCATCGTGTCGACTAACTCCTCGTTGATGTCAGTAATCGTCTTGATCGGATCATCGGGTTGGTTCGTAATAGGCATTAGCATATTGCATTCCTGCTGATGTCCAGCTCCCGATGCTAGCATAGCCGCTGCCAGACCAGTACGTGCCAGAAATCCTCCAGCTCGTCCTCGTCCAGCTCCTCGTCCTGATCCTTTCGGCTTCTGACTGGCTGCTTTCCTCGTCTTGCTGCATTCTGGGTCGCCAGCCCAGTGTCCTACTTCATGGCATGCACTGCACTTGCTTTGCTTATGGAAGGCGCCGAGCTTGTCTTGAAGCTCCTTGGTGCCGAAACTGATCTTGCCATCGAAGTCGATGTATGTCTTGCCCTGTCGAAAACCTCGGTTCGTCTTGCCATCTTTGATGAATTGTCGTTGCCGGCTGTAGTTCGATGAGCTCGATCCTCCTTTGCCACTTCCACGTCTTTTTGCCGCAAATGCTCCGACGACCTTTTGCGCCTCTGCCGCAAACGTCTGCACTTCTTCTTCCGATAGGTTTGCGACGTCCACAACTGCGAAAGCCGTCTCGAGCTCTTCCACTTCCGCCGACAAAATCGCAATCTCGTTGTCTTCATCATCGTAGTCTTCTTCTCCGTGTTCCTCCTCGGCTTCGTCATCCTCGATCTCCTCCTCAGGATCCGCACCGAAGGTTGCATTCCATCTGAACCGTCGTCCTCCGCCATCACGCTTGTGATCTCGGCTACCTCGAGCGTCAATGCTGTCGAGCTGAATCTCGAGGATGTCGCATATCGCATCCCAATCAGATTCATTCTGAGCCTGGCCCAGGAACGTTTTGTGCTGAGCCTCCGTAATACCACACATGTCTAGTAGGAAAAACGTTTTGAGACCCTCCGACAAGAGGCGTTTGTCCGTTCGTGAAGTCTCTCAGCTTCTCGTATGCGTCCATCCGCCGTTGGATAAAGTCCTTTATCGGCTCTCCTGGCTTCCGGTGTCCGCGTCTGAACTAGTCCAGAAACGCCTAGTGTTTCTGCAGCGGGGCCACTTTCTCCACATGTGAGCGAACACGCTTGATGAGTATGTCGAGTGCCTGCCCGACAGCCGCTTCTTTCTCCGTCGGAGTGTTCCCTTTTGAAAACTGCTCGGCAAGGGCCTTGACGCTGATCTTCTCGTCTTTGTGGCACAACGTCCACGCTCGCCCGCTGAGTCCGTTCTTGACCTTGGCGATGAAACCTTTCTTCTTCTCGGTGCTCTCCATGCCCAAGAATCCGAGCCGCACTCTCTCATCCCACTCTTCTGCTGCTTCCGTCTCCATCAAAACACGGAATGCCATCTTTATCCAACCGCACGTGTGATCGTGGATTTTGATCGTTCGCCATCGTGAAATCTGAATTGCTGACCTGCTCTCGAGGACATCGAAATTGCTCTTGAGTAAGTCTGAACTGCTCTCGAGGAAGCCTGAACTGCTCTCGTGAAAATCTTACTGCTGCGTATACTCGAAATCACGCACACGATCGCAAGATACACTCTCACCCCAACAATAGTACTTGCCTGTCCGCAAAGACCAGGTCTTGACTACAATAATGGAAAAGACGAACCAACTCAGCATAGGCCGTCCTTCGTTGACTGCTCCGCTACCAGTGTCAATGATGTTGGAGATTGACCAGTTTTTATTCACCTTCTGCACGTAAGCTCCGCGGAATCGAGCAATATGAAAGCGGTCGTCTGCACGACCAATCAAATACTGCAAGTCAGTGACTGGAACATATCTGATAATTTGTTATCGCTGATAGCTCAAAAAGAGGGTCCCCTGATACTATTGAGAGAAATGGCCACAGCATCTATCATGCTGTCTCTTCTCTCCAACTGCTTATCTACTGCGTTTCTAGCTGCACAGATACGGGCAAAGCACACCCATCTTCACACAAGAGGCCCCCAAAAGAGCCCAAGAGGCCCACCAGAGGCCCTCTAGAGGCCCCACGAGGCCCCAAAGAGGCCCAAAAAAGAGGCCCCATGAGCACCCCAAACGGCCCCCAAGAGTCCAAGAGGCCTCCAAAGCATACCGGTGCATAGCGAAGGACCGCTTAGCCTATCGTGGCATCGTAGCGTTGCATGACATGGCATGGCACGGCACAGCACGACAGAGCGAACCGTGTTAGTGCATATCACAGTATGTTTCAGCATGCCATAGCATTGCATTCCATAGCAGTGTCTAGCTGAGTCTAGCACTGAACGCCACGACGTAACATTGCCTAGCATGGTATTGCATATCATGATTCATGGTGGCGTACTTCGGCATTTCAATGCACATGAATTAATCAAAAGCACCGTACTGCTTTGCGCAACAGTAAACGGAAACCCTGCAAATATCACACCCCCGTTGTTGCTCTTATTGTAGCCCTGTTTATTTTAGCCTAGCAGCTCAAAACATGGCATAGTATTGCGCACGGTATGCCGTGTCTGCGCATAACATGTAACGTGGTTGCATCGCTATTCATAGAAAACATAAGCTGATATGGTTCAGCGTATCATCTCATATATTATTATAATATTTCGCATCACAGCATGTGATGGCATGCCATGCGCAATGTAGAGTATATCATATTATTGCATTCCATACTGAATAGTGGCATTGCGCTCTATAGCGTAGCATGGTGTCTCATGACATTACATAGCATAGTGCAACATGGCGCTGTAGTGCTGCATTTTTTCTGGCCCATAGCTTGGCGACAGATCACCGGTCGACGGGTCGATGAGAGCGGAGGAGGAGGAATGAGGAAGGGGCAGGAGGAAACAGAGAATGTTGACGTCATTATTCATGACCGGCTTGTTGTCTCAATGCGGTCAGAATTCGACCAGCGAGAGTCTAAGCGCCCGCGAAGCGCGCGAGATGGTTCTAGAGTATGTATATAAATAGTTGTGTACATATGTTTTCAGTTATGTATGTCCATGTGGATTTGTATACATCTATGTATATGTTTATATACATATATGTATGTATAGAGAGAGATGAGTGTGTGTACACGACGACTTGCACCAGAAAGGACATATTCGATCTGACCATTGTGATAATTAGCACGGCTACCTTGATTGAATTACGCATAGCCTGAGTCTGGATCATGGTTGAAGTTGTTGGCATTTGTGTGCGATACTTGCCCCTTAAAAGAATGCGAGCGCGACCAGCATGCACGCGATGTACCACATCTGGGGCAAGAGACGCACAACGCCCATGTGCCCCGTGGAAGAATGGCCAGACAGATGGTGAGACCGTAATGTGTCATTATTACAAGATCGTGCACTCCCAATTATTGCGCTTCGGCTGTGATGATGTTTGTGGACGATGTGGAGGGAGCTGGAAGCCATGCGCGAGCGCCTCACCAGCAAGGAGTTCTGGCCACCTCGCCCGAGTCTGGCCAGAGAATGCGGCTACCTGATCGACGGACTGGGGGAGGGGGATGATATCGGTGTGCAAGGAGCGTGGAATGTTTGTTTGGATGGTCTCAGAGCATGGAATGAGCTTCCGGAAGGCAATGTTTGCCTCGTGATCTTCGTTGTTGGCAACAGTACGCCGACAAGGGCTAGATGTGGCGCAGTATTTGGGGGAGCAAGTTCTGGATTGTTTGTCTGCAGGCCATATATTCCAATAGTTGGTTGTTGGGCGATCTGAACCATTGTGGCAGTATTGTAGAGGGCTCTGCGTCGCATGTTCACATACATGAAAGCGACAGGCATCACACTACAGGTATGGATTCACTCTTGCGTCGGTGTTTATATGCCTGCAAAAGCCTGCAAAGGCGCACATCCATGCGAGCGATGTGCGCACGCATGCGCACATACTGTGTAGTTATCACTGGTGGCAGAAAGCCTGGCCGCGCTGGCATGCCGCTACACGTCTTTGCAAACGGGTGCGCGCAGATGTGTAGGATTCTGCACCTGTTTGCAAGCCAGGGCGGGCTGCTATCGGCAGCGATGTTGAGCGCTGCTCCGCACGAGCGCACTTGGCGGATTCATCCACGCTGCAGGTCTTTGCGGTGTACAGTGGGAACGGGGAACGTGCATCGAGAAACCGGGCGCTGCGCGGTGACTTCCCGCAGGCGCTAGGACGCTGTTGCATCCATGGTACCTTGGGTTTCCCCCCCACGTGCACCTCGCGCGTGGATTCTCAGTGATGGGCCTGTTTTCCACCACCACCACCATAAGTTGGAGGGGGGGTAGGAGGTGGAGGACGAGGAGGAGGAGGAGGAGGAGGAGGAGGAGGAGGAGGACCCCATCCCCCTCCAACTTGTGGTGGTGGTGGTGGTGGTGAAAAACACGCCCATCACTCAGGGTTGGTGTTCTTGCGAGGACCTCCCGCGGCCGCGTCCGCACCGCACCACCAGTCAGTGAAGGTGAAGGGTCGGACAGGCAGGGCCCGCATACGATTCGATCGGATGTGATTCGATCCGCCCGTCGGGGCAGCGATTCTGCTTCGATTCGAGGCGGTCCGATTCTCAGAAGGGTGAATGGTATCGATACCGCCACCTTTGCCTCGTTTTCTCCATGTCGGGCCCCCTGGGAGGCCCTCGTCGCCACCGCTGGATGCGGAGCCAAGCGCGATTTCGATTGGAGACGATTCGGTTGCGATCGGATCAGGTCTTTGGATCCGATCCGGTTCGCAATTCGATCCACCACAGGCCTGGCAGACGTGGCAGGCGCGGCAGACAGGCGGGAGGGCCCTGGAGCAGAACCGGGCGAGGGGCAGCCGCGCGATCAGGGGGGCGCGCCCTGGGCTTCAAGAGGTGCGTGAGGGGCACCAGTCGAGGAAGCGCAGGCATGGATTAGGCACGTGTACTGGCGACCGTCGGCACGCTCCGTCGCCAAAGCTGGCAGCAGTTGCACCCTGCTTCAGGGCTTGCGCTTCACGATCCGTGGATCGTGTGTTAACACGCCATATCCACGGATCCTAATCAGTGGTAGCGTGTGCCCGAACCAGCTGGCAGGGCAAGGCGCGTAGAGGTGGTGCGCCTGCAATGTGGAAAGTCTCCTCGGGAACGGGTTCTCCTCCACGTCCTTTCGGGCGTTGCCAGAAGTGACCTTGGCCCAAGGTGGCCCCAGCTTTCAGGGCATGCTCAGATGGCTTCCAGAGCGCTCACGAAGTCCAGAGAGTCACCCAGGGGCTCCAAGGTATTGCATAAAGTCGGGGGCACCTTTGGCCAGGACCACGTCTTGCATACTCAGATTCTTCCTGAGGGCCTCTCGGAGATCCCAAAGTAGCGGGCGACCCCTCAAGGACCATGGCGTTGCAGAGCAGGCCTGTTTCAATGGATTCGCATGTGTACCATGATTGCCTCCAGATGGCCTCAAGAGGAAGTGGGTCGGCCCAGGGCCCGAGACGGGTTCGAGGGCTCCCAGATTGTCCTGGGACGGTCGAGTTGGGCCCAGGCAGCGCAAGTCTGGTCCAAGACGGACCCAATATTCTAGGCAGACCGAGCTGGTTTGAGCGAGCTTCGGGCGGGTCCCCAGCTGGCAGAGTGAGGCATCCAGAGACGGTGCAGCCTTTGGGCCGCTCTCGAAACATTCTGGTGTTCAAGGCGAGGCCTAAGCTAGGGTGGCGCAAACCGCTCGAAGGGCGTCCGCAATCGCACGTGGGCCGCAGCGGGCTCCAAGGTGGGTGATGTAGAAGCCTCTTGATGTGGGGAGGCGCTGAAAATAGTCAAATAGTCCGCGCAGGGTCCACTCCGATCCGATCGATCCGGATCGATATCGATTTCGGTCGGCAGATCCGATTCCGACTTCCCGACGATCCGACACAGCCTAGTGTTGAATGTCGATGATGTGCATATTGGCGCGGCCGATTTGATTCGACTCCGACTCCGCGCCGATGCGACCTGATTCGACACACGTTCCGATCCGATCCGAGCCGATTTCTCGAGTCGATGGTGACTGCTCCTGGGGAGCGACGTGGATGGAGAGACGCACGAGGCAGAGGGTACGCCGAGGCGTCTGCCTCTCGTGCTACATGGCGGACCACTGCAGCTGCGGGCGCCCCATCGAGGCGTCGTCTGCCCGCAGGCCGCACAGCAAAAATCCTGCACAGCCTTGCTCCGCGTGAGCAGACCACGCCTGTTCCAGGCTGCTCCCTAAGCACCCTCCCCATGCCACTCTGCCCGGCGGGCCGAACCCACCCCCGGAACGCGACCCACACCCTCTGTGCCCAGCGTCGGACACGCTCATTCTTGCCCCCCCCCCACCCCCCACCAGTTCCCTGTGCTGTTGAGCAAGTCGGAGTAGGTCGGAGTCTAAGATCATTGCTCTGTCCCGAAATCGGCAGCGCGCGGAGAATTTCGGTAGACTGGCGGTTCATCTGGCAAAGGCATTATGAACGTTTGTTTCTACTTGCTTGTTATATTGAGGTCCGTTTGCGTTCCTTCATCGTCTGATCCCGATGGATTTCACCAATGCCCGCATATTCGTCGGCGATGAGTTATGTTGTCGGCAGCCCAGCTTGTGAACGAGTGCGGCGGTCGTCCACGACCAGACGCGCAATTAATGCAGAAGATACGGGCCATCGCATCACAGCATAGCAGAAGATACGGGCCAGCGCGAGTTGATTATTGTATGGTACAAGGTGTTGTCAGTGCAAGGGATGTGTTGTCCCGTTGTCAAACAGCGAGCACAATCAATACGTACTCCCGTATTCGTCCATTGCTCATATTTCAGTTCACGGAAGGCGATACCGAAAGGGTATTGTGGTATTGTTTCCAGCAAAGCAGGTCTCGCGATTTGTATGCCTAGGGATCCCTTGACATAGAAGAAACTAGTCGTTCGGGGCCTTGTCGGAAACTGTATGACGGCATTCGGCCCACACTCTTGCCGTGTCCGAGTCGTGGATGAAAGACCCCTTGGATTGTCAACGAATCTCGTGGAACCTGTTGCCGAAATCCAAGGTCCCCTGTTCAAGCCCGTGCCCTGTTGCCGAAACCTGCTGCACCCAAGTTTGAGGGCTCCACGATGTGTTCTAGGAAGCCTCCAAGAGGCTCCCATACAGGCCCCCGAGAAGCCTTGATTGTGTTTGCTCTCGTCGTCGTCATTGTCGCCGATTTCGTTCTCCACCTTCTCCTTCCACCTCTGCCTCATCTTCCTCCTTCCTCCACCTCGTCCCCCTCCTCCTCCGACCTCCTACGTCTCGTTCTCTTTGTTGTGTTCTCGGCCCTCGTCCTCTTCCTCCAATTCGAGGACCAGATATTGAGTGGGAGCGTGTCTGCTGAAGTGGTCCCCCCTGTACCCATCGGCTGGACATGACAAGGATCTGGGACTCTGTGTCCCCCCCTGTTCTTACCTGCGACGCATTGGTACGGCAGCGACGTGCGTGAAACGCCCGCGCTGGGGCCTCGGGCCTCACCTGTGCGTATTGGGACGTGTCCCCACGCGGGCACCTCGGTGCACGCTGGCGGAACTCCGGCCGGCGTGGGACGCTGGCCTCTCTCCTCCCTGCCCGCTTTTTCCCTCCCCGCTCGCTCTCCTCCCCTCCCATGGCGGCAGCGCCCGGCACAGCGCGGCTCCGGCCCGGTGCTGGCACTGCACCTCGCCGCCTCGGCGGCCCCGCTCACCCTGGGCAGCGCGGCTCCGGCCCGGCCCACAGCAGGCGGACACAGTCGGCCTTCATGCCGAACCTCGTGGCTGCTACCTGGACGTGAATTGGACTACCACCCCAGGCCGCGACTGACCGCCCGGTGGCACAACGTTGCACATCGACTTAGTGGTCATCCGCATCTCCCGGGCCTCTCCTTACCAGTCGGTGGCACCTGGCGCACTTCGCCTTCCTGGTCTTCCTTTACCTCGCGACGTTGACTTGCTCACGACCCTCCTCACGCAGCAGTCGAGGATGGTGTTCTTGGCGCGCCGATGACGGCAACACCAATCCACTCTCCCTCTGGGACTTCGCCCCCTGCTCCAATCCATGGCGTACCTTGTCCTGCGCAAGATCTTCGGCACCGCCTGTACTCTGAGCCCTCCGGCCGCCCGAGGCCCCGCCCGCCCGCGCCCTGTTTCCCCAATTAGGGCTACTCGCGCCCCGTCTAGCTCTTGACCGGAAAAAGGCCCGCTCCCGACCCGCATACCAAAAAAACGTGTCCGCCGAAGTCATGGTTACCGTTTGTCTTTCACTACGTGTGGCTTCCAAATTCTATCCTTGAGTTGGGTCCTCGTTTTGAATCAACCACCGCCGGCTTCCACCCTTCTGATAATTCTTTTTATTCTTCCTATCCCAAGACATTTTTTGGTTGGGCCCCCGTTTTGGACAAACCATTGTTTGCGCAACCTCCCCCCTCCACTTCGCAAGTTTCCCTTTATTGTTGCGCGCCGTTGTAATATTGATAATTCCAACATTTGTTAATAATTGGGTAAACCTATCGAGCCCGCTCGGGTATGTAGAATTCGTTATCCAATATTAACCCTTGTTGTCGTCCATTCCAAGCGCTCCTCCACGTTTGAGGTAGTGGAATGTGCTGCTTATCGATTGCGAAGTTTGATTCCAAGGCTGGGAGGGATGGGGTGTCGTCCAACAGCTGGGCAAATTGCACGATTCATATTATTAGTTTAAAATGTTTTGCTCTCGTGTCAGCCCCTTGGGATATTATTTGCCAGCTCGCCACGCACATGTTTGAGTCTTCCTTGGCGGCGTAGTTTGGGCCGGCACTGTATGTTCAAAGAGTCCTGAGTCCCGGTCGCAATTTGCTAGTCGGCCCATGCCGTCTTGCGTTGTTTGCACGCCTTTCGTATGTCGTTCAACAGCTCTCAACAGTGAGCAGCCTGTCTTTTGATTATTCTTTGTTGTTGGCCGCACTGGCCACCGAACGATGATCTGTAAGAGCAAGGAAGCTTAGTGTAATCCGTCGCATTTTGATGTCTGCGTGGCGGTCAGAAAGCATGCAGGCTGCACACTGGGCTGCATTTTCCCGTGACCCACATGACCTTCAAGTCCACTGGCGGCTCTGGGTACGATTCTTCGGTTCCAGAAAAGCTCCAACACATCAACATATTGCATTAATATTTCAGGAGGACCCGGTTTTCTTGTTTGGTCGTGGCCCACCGCATGGCCTTGTTTGGTGTCCTGTGGGGAATTCCACATGAACAATTACGGGAGATATGGCGAATGCAGTTTTTGTTCATTGTTTCTCGGTGTAGTAATGCGCGTTCTTCAGGACGGTTCGCTGGATTTATATCCAGCTGTTTCCGGCAATTCAGCCATCGTGCCAGCGCAGTATTATGGGTGGCGCGTATTCGCGAAGGCATGAGGGTTGGCTGGAGACCTCTTGGGGCAGAAAATTTGAATGTTTAGTTCGTGTTCCCACTCTTGGGCCCTGTTTGGGGCCGTCTTGGAGCTCTCTTGCGGGCCTTTTGAGCCGTCTCGGTGGAGTTCGGGGGGCCTCTTAGGCCGTCTTGAAGCGTCGGACGTTCGAAAAGACGAGACACAAAAAATATTCAATCAATTATGACAGAGCAATGGCCTTGCGTGTCGGAGCCCTCTTGGCGGCCTCTTGGGGGCCTCTTTTGGCCCTCCTGGGGCCTCTGGAGCCTTTTGTGGCGGACTGCTCGGATTGTGTGTTCGTGTTCACCATTTTGAACTTTGAAACCATCTTGGGCCGTCGTGAGGCGATCATGGCCCGTTTTGAGGCCAAGGTGGCCCGTTTGGGAGCGATGTCGGGCCGTCTTGGAAGCATCTGGACATCCAGAGCGCGAATCTGTCGTACTGTGCGACGGATCATGACCTCAGGAAATCTGCGAGAGGGAAGGGGGTTTTTCGAAAATGGCACGAATCTTGCCATGCAACACCTGGCATTTTAGCACGCCTCAACGTGCCAGGAGGCACGTGGTGGATCTTAGTATGTCTTACTGGCAACGATACCCGTCCCCTGAACGTGATTGTTCATTCGAGCGGCTGTTGCACGAAAGGTTGTCAGACGGCATCCCAACCGACAGCCCCAGCATCAATCCCAGTACCGCTTCCGACTGCACTATCGACAACACGTTCATATCTGACAGCGGTTCCGAGATGTAGCGGCAGCGAAGCCGTCACCAGTGTCGACGACCATGTTGACGTCAGTTCCGACGATGGTGTCGACAGCCGTTCCGACACCAGTTTCGGCGCCTCCGGCGGAGGCAGTATTGGGTATTGGGCTCGACCTCACTTCCACAGGGAGCTCCACCAACGCCTCCAGTGGGACCGCCCGCATGCGTCCCGAAAACCCAATTTCGCACATCCCTCTAACGTTTCGTGGCCCCAAAGGAGCTCCACCGATGGCCCCAGTGGGACCGCCCGCATGCGTCCCGAACATCAAATTTGGCTTACCCAGCACACGTTTCGTGGTCCCATAGGGGGCTCCACCGAAGGCCCCAGTGGGACCGCCCGCATGCGTGCCGAAAACTTAATTTGGCACACCCGTCACACGCTTCGTGGCCCCATAGGGAGCTTCACTGAAGCCTCCAGTGGGACCGCCCGCATGCGTGCCGAAAACCTAATTTGGCACACCCGTCACACGCTTCGTGGCCCCATAGGGAGCTTCACCGAAGCCTCCAGTGGGACCGCCCGCATGCGTGCCGAAAACCTAATTTGGCACACCCCTCACACGTTTTCGTGGCCCCGTAGGGAGCTCCACCGAAGGCCCCAGTGCCACCCCCCGCATGCGTCCCGAAAACCCAATTTGGCATACCCTTCATACGTTTCGTGGTCCCGTAGGGAGCTCCACCGAAGGCCGAGAAATTAGAGCTCGAGGTGGATGCGCCCATACAGTACGACCTAGTACTGAAGCTTTGAATGCAGAGTTCGCGGGGTGATGCCAAAGTTGTGCTTGCGACGTGCGTCCTTCGAGATCGGAGAACAGCCATACTTGCGCATACTATGTTGCGTCCTTTTCTCACGGAGCACGCATGGATCTTGGTTCCACGTAGTTGCAAAAATGTGATCCCAGGAACCGGCGACTCTGATGACGTTTGTTTTCCTTGGGATGTGCACCGCTAGGCACCAATATCTTGCCGCACGCTCGAATATTTCAAATTCCTCAGCTAAGTTGCGTAAGTTCTCGTACCGGCCATCTTTGAAATTTATATAATGTTGGGTTGCTGAGTTGTCGACGCGCAAAACCACGCGCCAACGTCGAAGCCAATATGTTTCGAGACGCACGCATTGCACTGTAACCCAAAATTATTTATAATTGATTGCGTGCGCATTATCAATGTCAACACCGAAATTTGTTGGCCACATTCCCGAGCGGACGGTGCCTGAGTTGCATAAGTAGTAAGACCACCCATGCAATTTGCTGGCGTTCGTTTCCACGACCTTGATACACCCTGCAGAGGCCAATTCGCGCCACCTGTGGAATTCAGGTAATTTTGTACCCCATAAAGACAAATGGCCAGCTTCTCCGTGCAAAGGTCTTTCTGGAGGCGTATCTAATGAACGATGCCACCATTCGGTTGCCTGCCGAGCTGCTGTGCTAAGAGCGATGCGCGGATTCGCCGATGGGGATCGTGCCCAAAGCGTGAACACATTCGCTCCATGCAATACAGCCCACAAGTGGTGGAGTCGTCGACGACCTTGCGAGAATACTTCCGCAATATGTGAAGTGAGGCCGGCAGCAGATGCTAGATCTCTGGCTGTCAGGGTCCCTGCAGAATCTGTTTCTAGTGGAGTGAAAGCAATCGATTTTGGCACTCTTTGCATGTATATTGTCCTCGACTGACAAAAGATTGGCCCTTTGTGTCGAAGACCCACCCGGCCCAAACTTGCCTTGGAGCGGGAGGTCGAAGGCCCGACGGTCTTGTCGACAGTGGGACGCCGGCCTGACGAAAACAACGGATGGAAGCCGACATGTCGTGCCACGCTTCTTCTTCAGTGGCCGCTCCGCCTAACGGATCGTCCACAAAGTCAGTGTGAATGATGCGCTCACGCAGGGAGAGCAAGCTTAATAGTTTTTGCAAGTTCGCATCGTTGAGGGGACGGCTTGAGACCGAAAGGTAGAAATGTATATCGACCATATTGTTGTCGATTCGGAGAACAGAAACCTAACAGAATTTAGAAAATTATTCGAAAAACCCAACACGTATAGCCAACTGTTTCGTGACATCCAACATAAAATTAATTTCATTGTTCCATAATGTATTTGAAGATCGGGCAATTCGTTCTTCAATCCAGTTATATTGAGATCAATAATAACGTGTTTTGTATCGTTCTTCATTCAACGGTGTTTCTTGGACTTCAGGCGTTTCTTTTAATATTACAGCGCGTAAGTTGACGTGCAGCCGAGTCGACCGCGGACCGTCGAAGCATTCGAATTTTGCTCAGTGTTTCCAAACGAGCGCAATTTGTCTCAGCATGGGCGAGATGCTGTTCTACTGAAGGGTGGTTTGAATATATGCCCATCCGCAGATCCCGATCCACGTGTAATCGGAATCCATTACCCCAATCGTTCAGCAACGAAAAATATGCTACTTGCGAACCAAATCGCCCTAGCATTGGCATCGCAAATTTCATTGATTAGTTGCCAGAATTGGGCGATGTACTACACCGAACGACATTGTTTGTGCCAAAAGGCAACAGCTGACTTGCGCCTTTCATTATTAGCGCGCATGCGGTGCAATTTTTGCACAAATACTTTTGTTGTGAGGGGAACTGGGCCGCGCGGAAGCGTCACTCCCTGATCCTCCGACGAACGTGCATTGTGTGATACACCGCCGGTAGGACGCTTGCGCAAGAGCACCTCATTCTGAGGGGAACTAGACAGCGCGGGCATTCCCCAAACCTCCGACGAACGTGTATTGTAACCTGTCGTGTATTGTAATTTGCCGCCGGCAGGATGCTTGCGCGAAAGGCCGCCTTGCACGGAGGGCGATTTAAATGACACCCTGCATTTGCACGCGTGTTGTCGTGCGCATATTTTTGGCAAGAGGAGGAAAGAGTAGTAGGAGAAGAATAAAGCAAATGTTATCTCATCTCCTTTCGAAAACATATATATATATAAACGATTCGAGCTTACATGTTTTAGATAACCTTCCCGCTGGGGCAGCTCCACGTTGCTGGGAAGAGAAGCGCATCCTACGCTGGAGTCTTCTGGGTTGTGGACACGGGTCAGGTCCAGACCATCATCTTTCTCCTCCTCCTTATCTTCCAGGTGTTGATCATTTGGATGTTCTCCGCCATCAGCTTCAACCATCTCTTCATCATCATTGGGCCAGTTGTTCTTACCTTGAAGACTGCGACGCTCACAGAGGACCTCAGCAGGAACAGGTACCTCGGGAGCGCGTGGGGGCGACCAACGCCCCAATAACCCCGTGAGACAACTTGGGGAGTACCGACTCCGTGGCGTGCTGAGCTTCGGCTCAGTGCAGGGTGGCACGCTCGGGGCTTCTTCCGAACCCTGCACCGCAACCGATTTTGATTCTCGAAGGGAGGCCGGACTACCACGGAAGGCCCGGAGATCGGTGGCACCGTTCATCGCGGACCTCCGAGCTCGTACTGCTGGAGGGCGACGTCGTGACCGAGTGCGCCATTTTCATCGATTTTGTCACCAACGCTCTCTCTCTACTTCTGCTCACCTTACCCTTGTAACAATCAATATGCAGGGCTGGTGCTGGGCGAATCAAACAAACCGCCACATGGCTAAAGCCCTTGGGATGATCCGACTTGCTCGTACTCACGGCTGGGATGCCGCCTGTTTGTCTGACGTGCACTGCCCGTGGGAGTTCACTGACGACCACTTGCTCCCCGGAGCACCTCGGGACCTACGAAACACCGTCGTCGTTATAGAGGAGTTCATTGTCATCTTCGGTACTCGCAGTGCGATTTTGTTGAGCCCGGCGGCGCAGCAGGCTTGGTGTGATCATGAGTGCCATGTCGCCCGACACGAATGCGGCCGCCTCCTCGCAGTGTCTCTGCGTATCAAGGGCGCCTCGTACGCTATTACATCTGTCTTTGCACCAGACCAGTCCTATGGAGCCGACCTCCGGCGTGACTTCTTTGAGCTTTGCGATGAAGTACGTTCGGGAATCCCTGCGACGACCTCGCAGCTGTGGTTGGGCGATTGGAACAGCCATATTGGAGTCGATCCCTGCCAACACTACAGCGGCTTGGGCCGATACCGATACGGGATGAACACACCGACGGGGACGCCTGGGCGCGAGCTGGCCGCCTGGCTTGCTCACGGCCCGCAGCTCGATCTCATCGATTCGTACTTCAACATCCGCCCTCGCGGCACATGGTCACACCTTGTGGGCGGTCGCCACATCCACTTCGAGCTTGATGTCTGTGCGGCGTCGTCGCCTCTGCGGCGCCGTTTTCGAGGGTCAAGACGTTCCAAGTGGAATTCAGCGACCACTGTGGCAAGACGTACCACCTGGCCCTCGCCAAGGCCCACGAGGTGTGGCGGGAGCTTCGACAACGGGGCGTGGAGGCTCAGAAGCGCCCGCTGGCCCTTCATCGTATGCAGGGCTCGCTCCCCGAGGCCGTCGCCTTGAGAGAGCAGTATGTGCGACTTTGCGAAGACCGGACACCGCCTTTGGACGAGAACTGCCCACTTCCTGCCATTCGGGACATCACTGCGGCAGCTGCCGAGGAAGTGGTGGGGAGGGAGTCAAAACGGTGGTGCACTCCGTACCTCGCCGGCCACGCGCGCGAGATGCAGGCGGAGTGTGATGCACTGCGGGAACTTCGCCGCCGCCAGCGACTGGCGCCCACGACGGAGGAGTCCACAGCCCTCCGCCAACAGCAGCAGGCTCGGCCCCAGGCGTATCGTGCTCTCCGCCGCAGGTGGCGAGCGGAGTGGATTTCTGGCATGGTCACGGACTTGGAACGGTCCATGCAATTTCATGATATGGGCCGTTTCTACGCCACGCTGCGCGAGCTTGGGTGTAAAGCTGCAGGAATATTCCCAGCGTGGACGTCAAGATCACACGCCAGAGGCTCTTCGGGAGCACTACAGCAAGCTGGGGGCTGAAGTCAACACGGTCAGTCAAGAAACCCTGGATAGGTTGCCTCCGCTACGCCCTACCTGTGCAGCTTTCGGCGACATTCCTCGACAGATTCTGGCGCAGATGAAGAAGATGAAGAACTCCGCCGGGGGCAAGGACGAGATCACGATCAAGATGCTGTTGCACGGCGGCGACCGGGTGGTGGGCCACACGATCCACGGCATCCAGCACATGTGGGTGACCCCGCCGCAGGAGTGGGAGGCTTTTCTCCATGAAGCAGTGGTTATTTCTCTTTGGGAGCGGAAAGGAGACCCTAAAGATCTAGACAAGCACAGAGGCATCTGCCTGATCTCGATCGCCAAGATCATCGCTCGAGTCTTGTCCGCCCGGCTTACAGCGTACTGTGAAGAACACCACGCGTTGGCCAACGACCAATGGGGTTTCCGGCCTATGCGGAGTACGCTGGGTGCAATCTCGGTGGTTCGGCGTCTGGTTGATTTGGCGTGTCATTGTGGGGCCGACAACTTCGATGACCCTATTTGCGTCGAGCCGTTGGACATGCAGAAAGCATACCCCTCGGCCTCCAGGAACGCAGCGGAGGCTGTCGAGCGCAATGAGGGCATCCCGGAGGCCGTGATTCAGTTTGAAAAGGGCCTGACGGAGTTCACAGAAAATGTTTGTCGGAACAGGCTCGGCTACTCCAAACCGTACAAATTGCTACGGGAGTTCAAAGAAGGATGCCTGGCGTCTTGCGTCCGCTACAAGATTTACCACAACGCGGGCCTCCGTGATTTCCGAGCACGCTCTGCGGCGGCTGGCCTGTCTGACATTGTCCAGCTTCGCCATGCACCGGAGACCGTCCGCATACATCCATTCAACGGCACGCACGGCCCGAAATGGCAGCGGCAGGCCGACACTTGGGAGCGCTTCATCTTGGACCTCATCAGTTTTGCGGACGACACTAACCTGGTACATCGGGCGTCGGTGGCCGAAGCTCGCCGCGATCTGATCACCTCGACTATGAACGAATGGGGCGAGACGGTGCACCCTGACAAGTGGCAACACCTGCGCGCTCGGCGGGCGACGCCGGCGACTGCCGCAGCCCCCGCGCCTGCTGCCGCAGTACCACGCGCTGAGCACCCGCCCAGGCGGCGCCCGGCCGCAGCCGCGCCGGCAGCCGCTCCGGCAGCCGCCCGGGCAGCCGCCCAGGGCCTGGTCCGACGGTGGGTTACTGGCAAGAGCTCGGCGGCGGCCGCCTTGGGCCCAGCCCCGGCGGCGATTCCGCCCGCAGCCGCTCAGAAATGGGACCCATCTATTGAGTTGCTGGGATCTTGGATCTCGGCGGACGGCACCACTGAGCGCAACCTGTACGAGAGGCTGACTCGGGCCCGAAAGCTTTGGTATGCCGTGTATCGTCGATTTCCATCACTGGGCCTGAGCGCCCGGGAGAAGGGCAAAACAGGTCCAGGCAACGGTTATGGTTTCTCTGCTGTACGCCTGCGAGGTCACGGCTTTCAATACGAAGCAGTTGGACATTCTCCAGAGATTCCAGAACAGGGTGGTCCGCGCCGTGACAATGAGCTCCACTCTCACCATCCGCACCATGAAGGGCCGACTCACGCAGACCGATTTGCGGCTCCGGACGGGTATGGACAGCATTAGGGCGCAGATCACTAAGCGCGCGCACTTTGGGTTGGATTGGGCACGTCTGCCGTCGGGGTTCGTCTCGGCTAGAATACCGTATGCTGCGTGGCTGGCTGGACCCTGAGTGCACTCACACAGCAGCGGGCCGCGGTCTCACGTGGAAGAAGCAAGTGGATGATTGGTTGCGTGGCGTGGAGGCGCTTGAGGGACAGGAGCGACCATGGCATGTCTTGGCGACCACGTACGATGACAGCGGTAGCCATCACATGTGGGATCAACTGCTGCGCACTTACGTCGAGGCCAAGCGCAAGAGCGCGGACCAGGACACCCATGCAAACCGCCATGCTGCCGACCAACAGCCAGCACCAGTTCAAGCAGGAGGTGGAGACGAAGGAGGGGGAACCTGGGGGCGGAGGTGGAGGAGGCAGCGACGCTGCTGCTCCCGGCGGAGGCCTGCATCGGTTGGCCCTGCCCTCGTCCAAAGCTGTGGCTAAGGCGAAGGCGCGCATCGAGCCCATGACCACCTGCGAATGTGGCGCCAGGATCCAGCAGCGCTCTCTGGCCACTCGCCACCGCTACTCTTGCGCTCTTCGACGGGCACGGCCGCAAGAACACCACGTTCCAGCGGCGAGGGGGCAACAGGCGGACCGCCAGCGCTGGCAACGGACACCTTCCGCACGCGGGTCGGCGGGACCATCTGCACCGGCAGCGGCTTCTGCCTCGTCGGCAGGGGCTTCCGCTTCTGGCGCCCCTCTGCCGCCACTGCAGCCCCCTGCAGCAGGGCCCGCTCCTCTTCCCGCGCCCCTCCCGGCTCTGCACCCACCCAGGCGCTCGGGAATGCCGGCCTCCCCCCCGGCAGCCGCCGCACCGCCCCCAGCTGCAGGGGCCCTCCGCCGCCCGGCGGCCGCTGCCTGGCGGCGCCCCGCCCAAGCAGAGGGCCCGCGCCCGTCCGACTCCCGGTCCCGCACCTGCCCCTATTGCGGGAAAAGCAGGCAGCCATGAGAGTCGAGGGAGAACTGTCCAAGCATGCCGTTCGAGACCTGGAGGGAGGCGACACGGCTACGTACTATCGCAGAGTACGGGGAGGCGACGGTGAACACCTGGCCCCAACAGTGCCCGCACTGCGGCTTGCCATTTCGGGGCATCTTCGCGAAGAGGGTACACGTCGGGCACTGCAAGAAGCGGCGTTTGGCCGCGAACTTGCCGCTGGACGGATACCCGGGCTTTCGGCAATGTTGATTCGGTCAAGCATGCCAGTTCCAACATCTAGCAGGCCTCCGCAGGTGGCGGCCGCTCTGGGCGACCGCAGCGCATGGCTACGACTGCGACCGACAGCACTACCATCACGACCAGCAGCGTGATTAACATCGCCAGCACCACCACGAGTGGCCGGCCGAGTTAACGTGACCACACCACGGGTGGCCGACTACGACGTGCACCATTGTGAAAGTTAGGAGCTGTGGCGGCATAAGCCCAAATGATGTGACGCTACGATGCAGCACATTATTTTGATAAACGCTGGCGGAAAACAGTGTGTGGCGGTATCCTTGTTTTGGCATCGACTGCTCAGAGACATATGTTCCCGACTGCGACCCGTGCGTGCCACACCCTACAAGCAGCATTGAGGATGGGAACATTGTTCACACTCCATGACGACCGCGACCAGCAGCAGCAGCACCACTACAAGTAGCAGTACGAGCACGACTGCGACGGGCAGCACCACTACTGCGACCACCAGCAGCACCACGACTGCGACCAGCAGCACCAGCGCCAGAAGCAGCACTACGCAGCAGCACGCAGCAGCACGCAACACTACGCAGCACTACGCAGCACTACGTAGCACTACGCAGCACCAGTGCCAGAGCAGCACCACGCACCACCAAGTCGTGTTTGCGGCGGGCTTGGGTCTGGGTCTTCCCACAGCCCCGTCCCGGAACGAGCGCTTGGGCAAGTTGCGGGATATTGAGCCAACTTTGGCTCGTTGTGTATTGCAGCCTCTACGTTGTCATGTTCTACACCATTCACTACGCCATTACATTATGTTCATCTCTGTATTGTGCTTAATCATCCACTACACCATTATGTTGTTTGTTTGTGCCTCCCCACTACGCCATTATGTTCACCTTCGTGCGTGCGTATTGTGTATGCATTACGTGGTACGTGTTCTTGCACACACTATATTGGATACGTGTTTTTGCACACACGAAGAAAACGGACTCAATTCTTCACGCTTCGCGTATCCCCACCAGAGTTTTTGCGTCCTGACCAGTTTGCTGGTTTCTGTACGCAGGCATCGCTCCGCCTCGGTCGGGTCCTCTCTGGCTACTCTGGCCTAGACCTTTGCGTGGATGCGTTTTCTGATGTTGCGACGGTTCGCTGGCGCCGTCAGAGCGTCTCCTGTTGGACGACGTCACCAGTACTACCTGATCATACCCGTCAGGTTCCCTGGATGACCTTCCTGCACGGTGACTGTCTTACCACGCGGTTCTTCTTACTTGGACGCGTCGGGACGATTACGCGCCATTTCCATTTTTGTTGCGCTTGGCTCGCTTCAGGGTTGACCTCGCAGACTCTTTGGGATGCAGTTTGCACGTTTGTCTCAGGCGCTGACCTTTCAGACTCCCTGGGATTGCACGGCGCTGGCTCCTCAGACACCTTGGGTTGCTGCCCCACCGCCTGAGCCGCGCCGCGCGCGCTCGGGAATTTAGCCACGGCCGCGGCCCGACCGTGACTGCCCGCCGCTGGCGCTTCCGCTTGCGGCCGTTTTTTTTGTTGTTGTTTATTTGTTTTTTATTTTTTATGTTCTTCCTCCAGCCCATCCTACCTCAGGCACTCGAACGAAGAGCGCCGATGATCGGCAGCTGTTCTCCTCCCCTTTTCCTCCTTCTCCTCCGCCTTCTCCTCCTCCTCTCCTCCTCCTCCCTCTCCTCCTCCTCCTCTTCCTCCTCCTCCTCCACCTCTTCCTCCTCCTCCTCCGCCTCTTCCTCCCCCTTGGTGGCGTTTTGGAAGTGCCTTCGCACGTTTTAGTGGGCTTTTGGGCCTTGCGGGCGGGCGGGCGGCGCTCCGCCCGCCCGCGCGCAGGGCCCAAGAGGGGGTACAAGACGTCTCTCGGGGCCATCTTGGAGGAGATCGATCAACGAAGGGGGGTTCCTGAATTTCAGCCCCCCCTCAGGAGCCACGATCCTCGTGAGGGGTGTCGAATTTTAGCCCTCCCAGGGGTCGATCTTGGACGCTCTGACCGATCGCGGCCCCCCCGTGTCCAGGTCAGTGGGGAGGGGGTAGGGGGAGGGGTAAACCCCTCCCCGAAGGGGAAAAAGGATGGGTGGAAGAGGAAACGCTCTAAACCACCGACGCCCAGAGGGGCTGGTGGGATTGAGGAGGATGTCGTGGATTTCTGTTGTGGTCCTATCTTTTCTTCATTGCATTACTGCGCCATACCGTACATATCCGTGCACACCATGATAGTTCAATTGAGGAATACGTAGTGGATCTTTGCTGTGGTCCTGTCTTCTCTTTATTCCCTCGTGCATCGACCAAAGTTGGCCTACACATCAATTGTGAACGCATTTATTATTGAGTCGAGAGTGGGAATGCACCATTTCCTACGCCATTATGTTCATCTTTGTATTCGGATACGCATTATCTCACGCTCCTAAAAACACAAAGAAAACGGACTCAATTGAGGAGTATGTCGAGGATTTCTGCTGTGGTCCTATCTGTTCTTCATTGCAGTACTGCGCCATACCGTACATATCCGTGCACACCATGATAGTTCAATCGAGGAGTATGTCGTGGATCTCTGTTGTGGTTCTGTCTTCTCTTTATTCTCTCATGCACCGAAGTTGGCCTACACATCAATTGTAAACGCATTTATTATTGAGTCACACAGAAAGTGGGAATGCTGTCGTTGCTGTTTTGATTCCTCCTTCTCGCAGCGACTTGAGCAGAATATTTCTCTCCCCCGCCCATCTTTGCCGGATAATGCGGAGATGGCCAGCGGCGCAGCAGCCGGATTGGAGGCCCTCCGCGCAGCAGCTCCCGCGCCAGATAAGCAGGCCATGCCCGGCAGCAAGGGCCCAGGAGGCCACGGAGGGGCCGGCGGCTCGGTCCAAGAACTCCAGGAGATGTGCACGCCGATGGGGCCACGACCGCAGCATTCAGACGTTGCAGGATAAATATTATCTCGCACTCTTGCTGTATAGCCTCGAGACGAAGGCGGCCGTGGTGAAAGTACATAAATATTGGAAGATTGAGAAGCCCGCAGAAGGCCCGCACCCGTGTGGCCACTCGCTTCGGGCAATGGCCTGGGCAGCGCTGATCACCGAAGTCGGCAAGGCCAGCGCGGAGATGATGCATAAGTGGCCGAAGCCGCCACAAGACCAGGCGAAGTACGACCTGGCCAGGACGCAGCACGCGGTCATCGAGACCTTGCAGCAGGCTTCATTGAAGGAGGTCGAAACCTGGTGCTTCCGGCTCCAGCCAACCCCATGAGGAACCATTGGAACAGGCTGATCGTGCGTGGGTCTGGAGCCTCATGTTGTCCCGCACTGCGCCGCCCGAATTTCTCAACCCGTTGTACACGGCGGCGGCGTTCGGCGAGAAAGCGTAGGGGGCCAGGGTCGTGCTGGCGAGGAGCGACGACGGGCCGCAGTGTCAGCAGCTGCAGGCAGGACTACGTGGGCAAAGGCAGGGACATTGGGAAGGGGCCCGAACTATCGAAGCGTCGCCGCAAGGGCGTTCACGCTTGAGTACGAGCATGGAGGTCATCCTGCACGACCGGAGGTCTATCCTCCGTCGGAGCCCCTCGGGGCCGGGGGGGGCCTCCCCTGCCCTCTCGGGGGCCCGGGCGCCTCGGCGCCACGAGCCGCCGATCTTGGGGCCTAGTTGTACTTCGTAAGATTTCTCCGGGACGTGCTGCGCATTGGGAGGTTCAGTATCTTCGTGCACAGCTGCCCCATTATTCGACTACCTCTTCCTGTGTTCCACGGTGATGAAACATACTCTGCATCGGCAATTCTGGCGCATCTCAATTCAATGAATTATTGGTATGCGGGATCCGGTCCTCGTGGCCGTGTTGGGTCGCAAATATGATTTAGATAACGCAGCTGGGAATCTGACCTTGGCCGATAATATTATTTTCCTTTCACGGGTTCCGTGGCGGAGTTTCTTCTATGGCTGATCTTACTGAACAATCGCAGTTGCCTCCATTTGCGGCGGTTTTTTGTCTTGACAGGTCTTCATACACCTGACAGCAAAATCAAAAACATAACGGCGGCCGATATTTCAAACAGCGTATTTTCGAAAATATTGGCAGGGTAATTTCAAGCAGGTTTACGACGAGCGAAGGAGCAATTTTATTGTGGCATTTCGGTTCGTAGCGGCATTCTTGCATCGATACACTGAAAATTTATAATTTATAAATGTATCCCAATAACTGCGGCATAGATCCGGTTTCGCTTTCAAAAAATCGGTTTCGTTGAGAGGTTTCCTCGGTTATTTTGGTTTTTATTATCATTCGGTTTCTTTTGAAAATCGCTGTGCGCCAAAAAACGGTGAGAACGTGTAGAGTTTTTGCATGTGTGTGATTGGGTGTGTGTTGCGCGTTTGTGTAATAAAAAATAATTTGCAATTGGGCGGCTGTTTTGGTGTTTGAGTTTCCGCTATACGGGAACAACTATTATTTTTCAATGCGGAATACGAAAAGAGGAAATGCTAGTAGGACAAAAAACACGAGGACAAAAGTCCAGCATCAAAAATATATTATATTACATTTCCACATTTCTTATTATTTTCCCTTTCTTTCTTCGTCATGGTATCGCGGGATACATATTCGGATGATGAGATGCATCAGAAGATTTGTATTTGCAAACATGCAATGAGATACTTGCGCAATATCGCAGAAATTGATGGCGCCAGAAATAAAATGACCCAAAGGTGCGCACATTTCATATTGGGCCAGAAATAGGTAAAGGAACGCACTGAATGAAATAACGCTGTGTCGAAGGGGAAAATGACAAGATGAAAGGGATTCGGGCACTGACGGGCCTACCTTACCCGGAACAGCTGAATTACAATGACATGCATGGTTGTTTCCCCCGCCCAGCTCGTGCATTACAACAGTGCGGAAGCCGGTCAAGAAAGAATTCGACACGGACTAGCCGGAAATACACCTGGATGCGTCTTTTTTACGCATCCGTACTGTTGTGGACAAGCGTGGCGTTGCGTTTTCGGCACATATC